CGGCTGAGATGTGTCGGTGCGCAGAGGGCTCGCTGCGTTGCGTCCAGTCGCTGCAGGAGGTTCCGCAAACGGTCGCTGCAGCGGGTTCGGGAGTGCCAGGGATAATCCCTGGAGCAGAAATTGGATTGTTGGGGTTGTCATTGAAACAGTGGAAGCAACTGCAGGTAGAGGATTCCTCGCTGACCAGGATGAGGCTGCGTGCCTCTCGTTCAAGGGGATCGGAGGATCGCCCATTTTTGATGTTGACGGAGGGGTTGCTTGTTCGCTGGGATGTGGAAGCACAAAAATTTTGTATTGTTGTCCCGAGGGTGTTGCGGGGGAAACTCATTAACGAGATACATGAGAAATTGATGCATTTGGGGGAGAAGAAGACCGCGTTGACAGTGGGGAATAAATTTTACTGGCCGGGAATGTTTAATGATGTGAAACAGCATGTAAAAGAGTGCCAGGAATGTGCGCGGAGGTAAGCGCCGCACGGCCATATCGTGTCCCATTGCAATCGATTCAAGTTTCGAGAGTGAACGAAATTGTGGCACTAGATATTTTGGGTCCGTTCCCCATCACCCCTCGAGGGCACAAATATTTGCTCGTCGGGGTGGAATACTTAACTCGTTGGCCGATGGCATGACCGCTAGTAGACCAGTCAGCGACGTCGATCGCTGAGGCTTTCTTGAAAGGGTACGTCTTAGATAAGGGGGCCCCGGAACAATTGCTTACTGACCAAGGCAGAAATTTTTCATCGAAATTGATTAAAGACGTGTGTGACTCGCTGGGGACCAAAAAGATCCGGACGTCCCCGTACCACCCGCAGACTGACGGGAATGGTTGAGCGGCTGCATAGGACGCTGACATCCATGCATTGTCACCAAGTAAACACCGCTCAAGATGATTGGTACCTGCATGTTGCAGCGATGCTGGCCGCGTATAGATTGGCCCCGCATGCCTCAACGGGGTACTCGCCATTTTTGCTAATCCATGGACGAGAACCAGAAGCGCCGGCTATTGTTAAATTGGGAATTCGGAAGCGAGAGAAATCTACGACGGTGCCTGCTCCAATGCAGGTGGCTTTAGACCGTCTGAGGGAAGCCCAGGAGGCTGCATTGAAAAATACGGCACGACGACAAGCCGCTAACGAAAGATTGTACGGCAGGCAGCAGCCACGAGAGCCGTGGAGTGTTGGAGATAAAGCCTGGTTGCACTGCCCCATGGTGCCGGTGGGAACATCCCCAAAGTTTCACCGCCCCTGGCAGGGGCCCGTTGATATTGTGGAGGTTTTACGGGATCAGAGTGTGCGAATAAAATTCGGTCGTCGGACATGGTTTGTTCACCCGTCGCGCCTGAAGAAATTTGTGTTACCATATGACGCGTCATCCCCCATCTGAGAGCGGCCTGTATTGGATGTGTCCGACGAACCTGTGGGGAGGTCACAAGTGCGCGTGTCCCAGAGATCTGCCCCCCGTGTGCCTGCAGGATCGCCCCTTTTGGGCAGAGTTGCTGACCGGACGCCGACTGAACGGCCACAGATCCGGACCAATGTCCGTCCCGACCGGGAACGACGGACAGCCCTGCCAGCAGAGTGTCGCTGGGACAGGGATGGGCGCAGGGTGGAGCCCAGGAGTGCCCCTCGTTGACGAGATGAGCAAGGCCCTCCCTTACCGCAGGGTGTCCCGTGCAGGGGAGATGGGCCGGCAGCGGGAACCCGTTCCAGGAGAAGTACACTACGTTGACTTTGGGGGGTTTGGGGATTCTGTATAAAGGTGTTGTGTGAGTGTCGTTGTGTGGTGCGTGTCGGGTGGTTGTACAAAATGGTTACGTGTTGTGAGTGCGTTCTGTATATATGTTATCATCGTTCCGTCCGCTTCACTCCACTACTCTAATTCGAGTATAGCGTAGCCGGGGACGGCTAGGCCCTTTCATCACGGGGGGGGGGGGGGGGGGGGGTGATGTAGTGGAGTAGAAAATACACATGGGTAAATTGGCCATATACAGTACATACAAACAGTGTGGGTCATGTAAGGTCGGGCAGGTGATGATGTCACGGGTGGCGTAAACAAGCCAAAGTAATTAAGGGAGTCAAGGGACGAGGGCTGTGATTGGTCGAGAGGCTGTTAGCGTTAAGTGGCGGCGTCACGGAGTCTGGGCCGTTGGACAGGTGCGGAGCTGGCGGGAAAATGCCAGCGAGGCACGTGGCAATTAATTAAGGCTGATTGGAAAGGGGATAAAAACGCTAGGTGATTTGAACGGCGGGGGGAGTTGGCGAGAAGTGGAGACAGCAGCGGGTAGAGAGAGATGCGAAGAGGGGAAGCCGGCAAGTGTTAGTGGGAAATAGATTGAGAGCCGAACCCAGAGGACAATAAATAGCGATAGCGAGAGTTAGCGTTAGCAGAGTGGAGATTACGGTATAGGTAGGTACAGGGAGAGTTAGCGATAGACAAGTCACTGTGTGTGAAGAGATAGACAAGTCACTGTGTGTGAGAAGATAGACAGGTCACTGTGTGTGAGGAGATAGACAGGTCACTGTGTGTGAGGAGATAGATAAGTCACTGCGTGTGAAGAGATAGACGAGTCACTGTGTGTGAGGAGATAGAGATAGAACCACTGTGTGTGCGGGGAGAGAAGAAGAGACTGTGTGGGGAGACAAGGAGTATGAGCGGATGGTGCTGAGGGGAATTCGAGTGTTCGAGTTGGTGGAGCGCGGAGAGGAGAAATTATAGTGTGTGTGTGTGTGAAATTATAGTGTGTGTGTGCGGAACGATGGAAATAAAAGTGATGGTGGAAGAAAGGCGATTGTCGTCCGAGTGAATCCAAGGCACTACATATTTACGCGATATAACCCAAAAACCTCTATTATTAATTATATTGGTCGCGAAAGCCTGCGTGTTAAACTAAATGTGTCGCTGTCTGTGTGTCTGATAGATTATGCCTCTACCATGATATAACTTGCCGACTTGTACATTTGTCATACACACACATTAGACTTCTCACTCACTAAAATGTCCTAAATGGTATTGTGCCTTCATTCAATGTCTTTAAATCAATACTACTTAATTAATTATATTCAAAGTTATATTATGAATACTTAATTGATCATTTATACATTTCAGTTGCAAATTAAGATTTTTAATTTTGAAAAATTACAGAAATAGACGATGCACTTACATTCCAGCATGACCATGGATAATTAACTTAGAAACAAACCTGTTATTGGCCTTTAAGAACATTTCCAGAACAAAACCCTCCAGGGATGTGTACCGGTCCAATGTGCTATTCTGGGACCTTGCTGCTGTATCTCTGGCAATCAAAACTGGCATTTTACAGCAAATTAATTTTAGCGTTAATGCATACAACTGTACAGGCTGTGTAATTGCTCTAGAATGCAGTCATGGGCTACAACGTGGTCGCTGGATTTTAGTGATTAAAGTTCACTCACTAAGAATTAAGCCTTAAGGTGGCATTTCAGATGTTTTTTTTCATCTCTGAAAATATGTCACCGACAGCCATTATTAAGCCTACTTTCTTGGAATAATTAAATTCAAGGATGATTGGACCGATAGCGCAGGAGTTGCAATCTGACCGGACCAATATCAGGTCACATTCTGATCAGCTAATCGGAGAAAATGTGTTTGGGTTTATTTGTAATAGTAAATACAAACAGGTGATATAGCTATAGTGATGTGAATCAATACTAGCATCTATATTGTGACTGCATTGAGTCTACAGTAATATTAATCTATAAACTATAACGTGGGATTCATCATCGAGTCTATATTGGTATAAAAAAGCGAATAAATCCTACATAAAAACTTCTGATGTGTCTGATCTGATGCAAGGATTGTGAGCGTAAGAATCTATTTTAATTGAAAAATTAATGAATGACTAAATCCTTAACAAGTCTGTTGAAATAGTCCATGACTGCTAGCTACACATGTTTCTGTTGCTATTATCTGAAGTTCAACATGCCTAAACTATTTGAGTAATGCAGTATTGCATACTTGGCTTAAAATCTGATCCCCGTCATCTGAACTGGATTGTATTTTGTTGTTAAGCAATTGGATCAGAGAACACATTGATCAGATTTAACAAGCAAGGAATGATATATAAATCAGTTCCCATCATATGGGGTATGCTGGCATCAGAATGATATCGCTGTGATGGAAACACTTATGCATTTTTGTTGCTATTCCTGTTCGATTCAACAATATTTAAGTCCATAGAATATACACACAACACATTCGAATCCCATTATAATATTAATCCATTGTACAGCAAGCGAAATAAAACAACCCTGTAATTCTGAGTACCTAAGAAGCAAGAAACCAAGCTTCAAAGCAGGGACTGACACAGTAGGAGCTACTTTCAGTAAAAATGGCTGAGATTGTACGAAATGTTTGTCCCATGCTTTGCTTGAGGCCAATGCAGAAAACATCTCTCATCACACGGTGAAAGCTGTACTTCAATTTGTTTGAGCACGTAACAATTTGCATTAAATACAGAGGTAGCCATATATCATAAGATGAATTGACAATTTGATACTGTGAATTTACTACCACGTTGTTGCGGCAATGACGGAGGTGGTGGCAGTTTTTTTTTATTGGGTTTGCTCAGCACAGGCCCAAAAGACCAAAATGCCAGTGGCCAGTAATAAAGAATAATATTAAATGTTTAATGAAGGATGGCAGTGGTACTACTAGTGGGGATGGTGTTTATGTTTGTTGTGAGACTGACAACAAGTGACACTGGTATTTAGGGTTACCACCTGTCCTGGTTTTTCCATCGTCTAATTTTCCAGATTCCTCTCCTGGTATATCTCGAAGTCCTAATAGTCATGGTTTATATTCGTTGCATAATAATACACCACTCAACGCAATGCATTTCTTTGCAGTTCACCCCTCTTCTGGTTTTGCGAGATATTATTTTTCTCCATATTACGCTCCGTATTTTCCGTACTTCACATTGATTTAGTGTCTTAGGGCGCTTTGACGTGGTGACGGCTTTGGTACCTTGCAGGCTGTGCAGTGGTAGCGGTAGCGCCAAGAGGCCACTGGACGCTGCTGCTGCTGTGGTCGTGAGGCTCCGAGGTGAGGGCAGTGTGAGAACCAAGCCTTGAGGGTGCCCCACTCTGCTCGTCGCACCGCCGCCCAGCCCGGCTCCCACCATTCCAAATGGTAACAGCAGCGGAGTCATGAGCTTTCGACACAGAAAACACCAGGGACGGCAGGGGAGTGAGCTTTTTTTACGAACGCCGTATTCGACATAAATATTTGAATGTGATAGCCTCTCCAATGTTTCCTGGTTGAACCGAGTGTTGTTCGGTATGATGTCCAATGTTTTTCTCCACGTCGACATCATGTACGACCGTAAAACATCTAGGCAGCAGTTTTTGAATGCGATTCCAAGAGTATTGCGGCAAAATACTTCTAACGATGCTAGTCACTATGTTAACTTTAATATTGAACAAATGCTCGTAAAAAAGTACAATGTTTGTGTTCGTACAGCATATGCAAAATAAACTCCCCTGTCAACTCCCCCTGTTGAAAGAAAAAAATTAAAAAAAATCTGATGATTAATTTTATATCGCGCCGTTCATACAAACGGCGTCTCACAATCACTGAGGAACTAGAGATACGCTGGAAGGCTGCCAGACAGTTATCCCGTGGCAACAATTGCTCTGCAGTTGTCTATATATTGTATTGTTACATTGATTGTAAACATGTACATTGATGTAGAAAATGCACCAAAAGCTTAATTTTTTGTTATTTTAAACAATGCACAAGTTTCTTGAATCTCACCACTTCTGTCTACTCAGCAGGATAAACGAGTAAACCACATTTGACCAGCAGGTAGCGTGTGGTGGGGTAAAGTGTGGGTACTCCCACCTCTTCAAAATTGTCTGGTTAGAATCCAAGTTTAGTCCAAAATACCATCTTGAGGAGGGTCTCTAGAACTCCCTGTAGTGGAGTCCCTTCTGCAAGAAGTGTCATTAGCAAGAAATTGCAGGGCTGTACCTTTACTTGTACAGGGGATGGCCCGCTCTGGCAGGCCAGGTGCTGCAGGGCTGGCGATGCTCGCTGTTCGGCCGTCCCCATTGCCAGCAAGAACGGCGTTCCTGTTGACTCTCCAGCACGGACCACAAGGCAGGTGTACAATTAAGCAAACCTCACCCGATAACATTGTCAGGTGACGTATTATGAAACAATAAGAACGACACTAGAGTGCAACTGGTCGATTGGGTGGCAGGTTTTCAGATGAAGCTTCGTGTTTTACTTTTACACTAACGACATTGCAGCATCATACCAACGCTGGCACGTACCTTGGTTAAATTAATAACGCTTAAACGAGTAAACTTTTTTCTGCTGTTTTGCAGGGAAAACCTTGCGCACCGTGACAGTTTCCCATTACTGGGTCGGTCGGAATTATTCATGTGCACATTGTGTCCCAGGTAATGGGAATCGGGCCGTGCCAACTTAAAAGTGCACTTTATTTTCTCTCCATTGGTCAGAATAAATCTCCATTGGGTCCAACCAAGAGCTGACTGTCTTTTTTCTTTTCTCCCAAAAAAAAAGAGCGTGTTACAAAATGTCCAAACCTGTCACCACACGAGTGCATCACTTGTTTTCGGTCACGTTTTAGAACGCAGTTGCACGGCATGATTTGATTAGCCAAGCTTTTGCAACAAAGTAGTCATTGGCGCTGAGCCTGTTTCCGTGTATCTTTGTGAGAAAGTTAATTGGATCACAGGATGCTGCGTGGCTCAAAGATAGTGCAAGAAAAGGAAGCAAATTACCAGCGCGCTCTTAGTCGCAGATGAGCCATTCTGTTGGCACAGCAGCGCTTGAGCATACATGTTTTCCGGTGAAACACGCACATATGAGTTTTGTTTATTGCATAATGTAGAGTTTAAACTATATTTACAATGCACAATACGTTAGTATTTTGTAGGTGCACAAATAAAGGTGCGATGGATGTAAGAATGAACAATAAATTAAACGTACCAATGGTTGTACACATTTCTAATATCTATGCCTTAATGAACTTCACGCACGCACTTCTTGTGGAGGAGGCACTGAAGCTCTCTGCTCTTTTGTCAGAAATTCCCCCAACTCAGAGAGACAAGTGAAAAATGGTTATAACATACACCAACTCCACAGTCATATAACTTGCCACTGCCCAACCTCCCAATGTCAGATTGATGAAGTGTTCCCCGAACCCAAGCACTCGCATGAACAAGAAATAAATACGCTACACCACTGTCTCCTCCTGAAAAATACACGTTTTAAGTGTTAACTTTATAAACAATGCCTGTTATTTACATAAACAATGCATTGGGCATTTAACTCTTTGGCACAGTTGAACTGTTCTGAAAGTAAATTAATTGATCATGGCTATGGCTAATATGCAGGACAGTTCTAATCATAAGTTGAGGACATGTCAACAATGTAAATGTGTTTAGTAGCATTTTTTAAATTAATTTGTGCATCCTATGTCTCGCAACAGGCTTCTTTATAAACACACAAAATGTTTTAAGATTAACTAAGGTGTGCAAATAAAGGCAGAAGAAAAATAAATGAATTATGTTGTATCAGTGCCTATTGATTTACATCAGTTTGATCCCGATACAGCTGGTCTCTAGAGCTAAAGGAACTCGGAATGACTTGTCTTAGACAATACCCAAGCTAAATGCTTGAAGCATAACTCGATGTCTACAAGATTCGACCATACAATTGAATAAACATTGCCATGAAATGACACATTCACAATTTATGTACATTACTAGAACACAAAACCTTTTTGCAAGTGATGCTTATTTTGATAAAATAAAGCTTGAAAACCAGTTACAGATATTACCTTACATTCTAAAGAACTGATATTCAACAGCGGTCGTGCATGGATTAGCACACTATGCTACGAACCTGGCAAACTGAGCTCAATTACTGGCCCCAGCTAACATCAGTGGAGAGTGATATCTAGATCAGTCCTGGTACCTCCTTTCTCACGAACCCATGCTGACCAGCATGTAGCATGCTGAAATAACCCCCCGACAGACACAGTGTGAGGAGGCGTTTATTCAGCAGTGGATTGACAGAGCTATTTATTATTATTAGATGATATTAAGTGCATAAAGTATGTGTTTTTGCTGTACTTAAACAAAAGTTGCGGGGACGTTGTCAGTTCTAATGTTACAATGTCAGTGCAATTCATGGACAGAATAGGAAACAAGTTTTCAATACTCACCAAAGCTGCCGTGTGTCTCTTCCTCGAGTCGGCCCTCTGTTGATCTCATGGTCATAATCAGGGGCTCTTTCAACCCTGCACACCTGTTCTCCACCATGGTCGGCATGCCCAGGTGCAGCTGCACATTTTGGCTCTCTGCTGGTGGTCTAATGTTGCACATTCCGTCCTCGGGTGTCTGTGTCCCAGCCCAGCTGCCCGGCTCGTTTGCATCCCGAGTCGCTGCCGGCCGCGTCTCCTGCAGCTCGGCTCTGCTATTTGTTGCTCTCATGCTCTCCCTGCAATCGAGCAAGGGGTCTTGGGTCTCTGCCAGGAACGTCAGCTTCTGTCTCTGGTCCGTGAACACTGCCGACTGGTATCGGCCGTTTGCCTGAGTGTTGAATGTGGGCAGTCTCTCTGTGTTGGCAAAAACAATGTTCTGTGTGGTGTCCTTTGAGCTTTCAAACAGCCGTCTCTTTTCACAGTTGCCACTCAAAAGCAGGGATGAACTGAGAGGCAGAACCTTCCTGTTCAGCTGGCGATGCTGCTCAGAGATCATTGAATCCTACCACAAAATAACAAAACAACACAAAAGGGTGGCTCAGTTATTACATGTATGTACGTAGAACTTCATTTGCACCGTGTGTAGACAACTGTGCTAATCGGAGGTGAAAGCCAGCCAAACATAAACTCACACCAGTCAAATTGCCGTGTGGCCGTATGTAGGTGGTATGTTGAATTTACATTATTTTCCAAATTAAGATATGTCTCGAACCATACTTACAGTGAGGGAAAAAAGTATTTGATCCCCTGCTGATTTTGTACGTTTGCCCACTGACAAAGAAATGATCAGTCTATAATTTTAATGGTAGGTTTATTTGAACAGTGAGAGACAGAATAACAACAAAAAAATCCAGAAAAACGCATGTCAAAAATGTTATAAATTGATTTGCATTTTAATGAGGGAAATAAGTATTTGACCCCTCTGCAAAACATGACTTAGTACTTGGTGGCAAAACCCTTGTTGGCAATCACAGAGGTCAGACGTTTCTTTTAGTTGGCCACCAGGTTTGCACACATCTCAGGAGGGATTTTGTCCCACTCCTCTTTGCAGATCTTCTCCAAGCCATTAAGGTTTCGAGGCTGACTTTTGGCAACTCGAACCTTCAGCTCCCTCCACAGATTTTCTATGGGATTAAGGTCTGGAGACTGGCTAGGCCACTCCAGGACCTTAATGTGCTTCTTCTTGAGCCACTCCTTTGTTGCCTTGGCCGTGTGTTTTGGGTCATTGTCATGCTGGAATACCCATCCACGACCCATTTTCAATGCCCTGGCTGAGGGAAGGAGGTTCTCACCCAAGATTTGACGGTACATGGCCCCATCCATCGTCCCTTTGATGTGGTGAATTTGTCCTGTCCCCTTAGCATAAAAACACCCCAAAGTATAATGTTTCCACCTCCATGTTTGACGGTGGGGATGGTGTTCTTGGGGTCATCGGCAGCATTCCTCCTCCTCCAAACACGGCGAGTTGAGTTGATGCCAAAGAGCTCCATTTTGATCTCATCTGACCACAACACTTTCACCCAGTTGTCCTCTGAATCATTCAGATGTTCATTGGCAAACTTCAGACGGGCATGTATATGTGCTTTCTTGAGCAGGGGGACCTTGTGGGCGCTGCAGGATTTCAGTCCATCACGGCGTAGTGTGTTACCAATTGTTTTCTTGGTGACTATGGTCCCAGCTGCCTTGAGATCATTGACAATATCCCCCCGTATAGTTCTGGGCTGATTCCTCACCGTTCTCATGATCATTGCAACTTCACGAGGTGACATCTTGCATGGAGCCCCAGGCCGAGGGAGATTGACAGTTCTTTTGTGTTTCTTCCATTTGCGAATAATCGCACCAACTGTTGTCACCTTCTCACCAAGCTGCTTGGCAGTGGTCTTGTAGCCCATTTCAGCCTTGTGTAGGACTACAATCTTGTCCCTGACATCCTTGGAGAGCTCTTTGGTCTTGGCCATGGTGGAGAGTTTAGAATCTGATTGATTGCTTCTGTGGACGTGTTTTTTATACAGGTAACAAGCTGAGATTAGGAGCACTTCCTTTAAGAGTGTGCTCCTAATCTCAACTCGTTACCTGTGTAGTGGAGTAGGAAGGTGCGTAGTGCAAACAGCGTGATTACATGATAACAACGACAGTACGGGTTATGTTGGGTCAGCCTGTAGCGAAGGCAAATACAGTGCAGGTTATGTTAGGGCAATTAAGCTGGGAGAGCCAAGGACAGCTGTGATTGGCTGGAGCTGTTGTCAAGGCTAGAGTGGCGCCTGAAGGTCTGGGTGAGAAACAGGTGCGAACGACGCACAGCGTCGTTGGGGCATGGACTAATTAATTGGGGAGTAATGAGAGCGGGGATGAATTGGGGAGTCGGGAATTGGAGGGAGGTTGTTGAAGTTGGAGAGCTTGGAGTCAGCAGCGGGGAATTGAAGTGTGGAGAGCTTGGAGACAGAGTTGGAGGGACAGAGTTGGAGAGACAGAGTTGGAGACGGAGCTTGGAAACAGCGTAGCGATAGCGGAGCTGAAGAAGAGAAGCAGCCAGCAGTGGAGAGAGCATAGCGATAGCGGAGCTGAAGAGAAGCAGCCAGCAGTGGAGAGAGCGTAGCGGTAGCGGAGCTGAAGACGAGAAGCAGCCAGCAGTGGAGAGAGCGTAGCGATAGTGGAGCTGAACAGAGACGAAGCAGTTAGCAGTGGAGAGAGCGTAGTGACGGTGATAGCGGAGAGCAGAGCCAAAGTAGTTAGCAGTGGAGAGAGCATAGTGACGGTGATAGCGGAGAGCGGAGACGAAGAAGTTAGCGGCGGAGTAAGCGCAGTAATCGTGGGGAGTGGAGAGACAAAGGTGGCGAGCGAGTCGCGTGAAGCACGGCGAGCGAGCCGTGGCGACATGGATACTGTGAAATACTGAGGACATGCGGAGAGTTGTAAATAAAGCGGTGTTCGAAGAAAGACAGAAGTTGTCTGATTGAAATCGAACACTACACCTGTATAAAAGACACCTGGGAGCCAGAAATCTTTCTGATTGAGAGGGGGTCAAATACTTATTTCCCTCATTAAAATGCAAATTAATTTATACCATTTTTGACATGCGTTTTTCTGGATTTTGTTGTTGTTATTCTCTCACTGTTCAAATAAACCTACCATTAAAATTATAGACTGATCATTTCTTTGTCAGTGGGCAAACGTACAAAATCAGCAGGGGATCAAATACTTTTTTCCCTCACTGTACATTCACCAATGGTAATGTCACACAAATCAAATATACAGTGAAACCTTGGATTGCGAGCATAATTCGTTCCGGAAACGTGCTCGCAATCCAAAGCACTCGAAATAATGGACTCAGATGATTCGTTCCACAAGCCAAACGTACTGTATTCATATAAAAATGATTAATACAAAATACCTTTTTATATTTTTATTATTTAAATTTAATATAAAGTAATCAAATTTATTAATTACATTTAATCGTGGCTGGTGTGAGAGACGAGAGGAGTAGGGTTATTGTGTAGGACGACTTTCACTTGCAGTACAGTTACTAAAGAACAGTCACCACACCTGGACACAAAATAAAAAAAATCCTTTACGCACACACACGTGGACACAACACTATACTGTACTAAACAGTATACATGTGGTCACAACACTACACTGTAGTAAACAGTATACACGTGGTCACAACACAATAGTACTGTAGTAAACAGTATACACGTGGTCACAACACTATAGGACTATAGTAAACAGTATACACGTGGCCACAACACTATAGTACTATAGTAAACAGTATACACGTGGTCACAACACTATAGTACTGTAGTAAACAGTATACACGTGGTCACAACACTATAGTACTATAGTAAACAGTATACACGTGGCCACAACACTATAGTACTATAGTAAACAGTATACGCTCGCACGGATGTTGACTATACGAGTGAGGCACGCCGACTGACACCGAGCATGGGAGATGATTACCCACAATCCCCCAGCGAGAGAGCGAGAAGAACCATTGGCTCAGTTGTGATCACGTGACACTTGGCAGACAAAGCGTTATACTGCACGTACTGCTCGTATTGCAAGACATCGCTCGTTTATCAAATTATTATTTATTTAAAAAATTTGCTCGTCTTGCAAAACACTCGCAGACCAAGTTACTCGCAATCCAAGGTTTTACTGTAATTTGTCAGACTTGGGACCGTAGTGCCACGTTACTTTTAAACTAACACTGCCTAGGGCGTAATATTGCATCTAAGTAGGCCTGTGTGGCATGTTCATGCTTTAAAATGTAGCCGAGCTTGATCAGAAATGCGGTGATGTTGGCCAGTCTTTTACATGTAAAAGCCCTAATATAGTCTATTTCCATCATTTGTAACCTACAAATAAAATCAGAAACAACCCATGTCAAAGTTAGTCCGAGGTTGAGGGGCTCACGTCACCAGAAGTCAATAAAGCCGACTGAATGAATAGTTGACTTAATAAATTTCAATATAGCACCTGACCCCAAAATTATTGAGCAGTGATCGAGTGTTTAATGCAAAACTTCTACCCCAACCTGGCTTTAATCAACGCTGAAGTGGGTATTAGGACTAATCCATATTCTTGGTTATTTCGATAAAGTCACGTAGAAGGGAAACAATAAAATAATACATATATAAAACAATAAAATTATCACGACGTTTCGACTGCAACACAAGCAATCATCATCAGGTGTGAAAACCACAGCAAGAAAATATTTTTCTTGAGAATTTTATTGTTTTATATTTTTATTATTGTATTGTTTCCCTTCTACGTGACTTTACCGAAAGAACCAAGAATATGAATCCCTGCAGTCACGACAGCTTTAAATCAAAAGGACCAATCCAGTTTATCTCGCGATATGTCCAGGGGAACTTACATTTTTATCATAACAGCTTTTGATATATATTTTTTTGCAAATACAGCATGACTTTAATAACTTGAACAGAGGAATGTGGCTTCATATTTGTTTGGATTTTCCATGCAAACATCTTCTGCGTTTATTTTTTACAGCAATGAAAGTACACAATCGTAACCTTATGCTTTGTTATATAATAGACTTGAAGAATTGACACACATGTTGTGTTTTAGCAAGGATGTTTTGTGATCCAGAAACGGTGTGCAATTTTCGACACAGCAATGAGATGTTAAATGTGACGATTACGTGTAAAGTAAAAAAACACATACATAACTCGGTCTCAAAAGCCTGCGAAAACCCAATAAAACTTTCCACTTCACAGTTGATTTTCATCAGATTTGTCCTCATGGTTTTAATTGCGTTGAAGATGCAGGCTTTACAAGGATTGATACCATATGTTAATCCTGGCTTTTAATGAATCCTGGCTTTTAATGAAAGCTGACTCTTGCCTCTCTCTTTCTAACACTACCTGACAATGACACACACAGACTGCCACCGTACATACGCACACAGAGTGCCACCGTGTACACACACACAGAGTACCACCATGTACACACGCACATTTAGTACCACCATGCACACAC